CACTTCTGCATAGAAACCAATCAGCTTCCAGGTTTCATTGCCAAAGCTTCATTGAACAAGCTGAGGTTAGAAGCTGATTGGTTTCTATGCAGAAGGGAGTCTGATTTTGGACTCTCCAGCTTTAGTAAATAAACCCCATACTGTCATTTCCCTCTACATCCAAGTAGCACTTCTCTTACTTAAATATAAGTTTGGATATTTTTTTAATAAATGGCACATTGTTTTTACGAATTCCTACATATTGGCTACCTTGTTGTCTTCTCTATCTCGAGTGTGGTAGACCCTCTTTATGAATCCCCTGATTAACTTTCAGTGTTTTGTTTGCCCTATCTACCTACCAGAACAGTAATAAGTGTTCTGTGCTCAGGACTTACTAAGAATCAGGTGTCAGTAAAAATGACTAGCACACAATATCATGGCACAATTAAATATTTATGATGACACAATCTTTTGTCACAGGAAGTGATGTTTTTTAATTATAATTCATACAAGATACCAAGCTATGCTTTCAAACTGTGTTGAGCAATTATTCTTGGACATCTTTATAAACAATACATCATAGAAATGCTGATGTTTATTATCACACAACTTTTGCGTGCTCACACGCACATTTTTAATTAGAGATGGTGCACTGTATAAAACTGTCAGGAACTGATACATCATCCTTATTTATATATATCTGTCTTTCATCTTCTCTGATTAACAGGCAAATGAATGGGCAGCTTGATTATGCTTGATTAATGGAACTTATATATATTTTGTCCCTTCTATGATATGGTGTAATCATTTACCACTAATAGCATACAGTGTAATTAAAATTTAATGGCATCTCTCATTAGCTACTTCATTAGGATGATGGTCACTTCACTGTGCTTGCACTGCTGTACTATAAAGTAGATAAGAAGTACTTAATTTGAGAGCTTCTTTTCTGAGGAATAGGTCATGAAACACCTTTGAGAGTCTTACATTACACTGAAATCGTAATCTATTTTTCAAGTACTAAGTACGTAAAAAAAAAAAAAAAAGGATAAAAGAGAACAAAATACAAGTTTAAATTGTGTTCTGTTAGTCATAGAATAGGAGCCAAGACTGACAATGAGCTTTTCCAGTGTAGCCCAGATTCTGTGTCTATGCAGCAAAGGAAACTTTTTCACAGGCACAGCTGCAGAGAACACTTTTATTGTGAACTGGTGTACAGCCAGTGTTGAGCCCACCCTCTACCCAATAAGAATGTGCAGGAGAGGAGGATTGTGGGAGGTGTAGTACTTTACAGACTGAGTTGGCTTGGTGGGCTGGAAGAATGCTGTAGATCCCACAAGAAAAGGGGATTTTTCTTATTTCTTTTTCTGGGCTGAGGCGAGGAAGTGTGGATGTTATTCAGAGAGACTGAATGCACACCAGGCTGATAGAAAACCGCCCACCACTGCATCTGAGAGGGAGAGAGAAGCAATGACAGACATTTTGGGACACTGAAAAGTGCTACAGCTGCTAGTGCAGCCTACTGCCGGATCAAGGATGATGTAGACACTGACTGGCTGTGCTGCTGATAAACAGTAGGAGATCGCCTGCTAGGAAAAAGTTGGTAAGAAGAGAAGAGAGAGAAATGATATTACAGACTGCTGAACTGCCTTGGTAGTGTAATTCTCTTTAGTTAGGATTGCACAGTATTGTTGCAATTGTTTCATATCTCTTTTGCCAATGGGATACTGCTTATGCATCTTCAATAAATACTTTATACCCAGCCAGGTGTGTCAGAGTGCATGGTGCTATTTGCAGAGTCGTGAGCACAGAGACCCAAGAAAAAGTGGCTTGTTTGAGGGTAAGAGGCACACAAAATTCCTACTACTGCACTGTTAAATCCTGAGCACTGGGAGTGCTTGGAGAAGGAGGAACTGTGGTTCAAAGTCAGGCAACAACTACAAGGGAAGCAGAATAAGAAAGGGCCACTAAAGGAGCAGAGGGGGGTATTGCCACACATGGCAACTGAGTTGGTGAAAAAAATAAAAGGCTTGAAAGATTTAAACATAGAAGGCACATTTTTGAGATTCAGGAAGAAGATTGTGAACAAAGCTTTTAAGGTTCAAGAGAGAGCAAGCGATGATATGAGACAAAGCAGAACACAGAGGTAGTGGATTGCCAGATATTTAAAGCACACTTTACAGCAACAAATTTGGGTTGTATCACTATCCCAACCAATGAACTCTGTAGATATAACGTATAGTGTGTATATATATATATATATATATATATATATTGTAATGGGGTTCTCTCGGCAGCGGGGTGTGTGTGACCCCCTGGATGGGTGCACAACAACACAAAAACACAGGCACAGCACAACAACAGTGGAGGTGAAAACAAAAAAAGGTGCAGTTTATTTACAATATTTACAGGAAAACGTCAAACCAAAAAGAAAAATCAAATAAAATCCTGGCCAAATTGGCTACTTACGAATAGCTTCCCTAGCTATCCACTAGGTACAGCCTGATGTTATACCTAGTCGCTGGTAATTGAAGGCTAGCCACACAGGCTTTTGTCTCCCTGCACACAGATAGGATGTTGCTCCCCAGTCAGTTCAAGCACAGATCTGGTTCCAGGTTGGAGCCACTCCCTAAGCAAGCTGGGAAGTTTTAGAACAGCCTTAATAAGCCCACTACCTTTAGCTGGGCTCATTAACCCAGTGCTGAAGGACTCAGCACTTCCCCCTAGTGGGACAAATCCCCACAGAGTCTGAACCTTGGACAAATGCATCGTCCATCCAGGTTGCAACCAGATGAATTCACCTGCCTACTGTCACAATATATATATATATATATATATATATATATATATATATATATATACTTATACCCACAGTGCTCAGCATAAATGAGTACACCCTTTTTGAAAAGTAAGATTTTAATTCATTTCTCAATGAACACAAGAACAATTTCCAAAATTTTGTCAAAACTGAGTTTTATAGAACATTTGTTCAGCTGATTACATGAAAGTAAGGTTAATAATATAACTTAGATTACAAAATCTTAAGTTTTACTCAAAATACCTGATGCAAAAATGAATACACCTCACAACAAAAACTAGTACATCTAAAATTTTGTATGACCTCCATGATTTGTAAGGACAGCACCAAGTCTTCTAGGCATGGAATGAACAAGTTGGTAACATTCTGGCTGGATGGAGAGTGACGGCCAAGATGTCTCTTCAGAATTCCCAATAGGTGTTTGATTGGGTTCAGATCAGGAGACATACAGTACTTTGCCACTGAATTACTTTCACCCTGTTCTTCTTCAGAAATGCAACATTGGCCTTAGATGTGTGTTTTGGATCATTGTCATGTTGGAAAAGTGCATGACGACCAAGGACATGGAGTGATGGTAGCATCTTCTCTTTCAATATAGAGCGGTACATCTGTGAATTCATGATACCATCAATGAAATGCAGCTCCCTGACACCAGCAGCAGTCATATAGCCCCACAGAAGGACACTGTCACCACCATGTTTCACTGTAGGCACCATGCATTTCTCTTTGTACTCCTCACCTTTGCAATATCATACAGCTTTGAAGCCATCAGTTCCAAAAAACATTTATCTTGGTCACATCACTCCAGAGTACAGAGTCCCAGTAGTCTTCTTTTTCAGCATGGGCCCTGGCAAATTCTAGGTGGGCTTTTTTGTGCATGGGCTTTAGGAGAGGCTTCTTTTGTTAACGACATCCATGCATGTCATTCCTCTGCAGTGTACGCCATATTGTGTCATGGAAAACAATCATCCCAGTTTGGCTTTCTGCTAACCGCAGTGAACTTGCATGGCAATTTTCTTCAACCCTTCTCATCAGAAGACGCGTCTGTCGAGGTGTTAACTTCCATGGACAGCCGGGACATCTGTGAGATGGTTGAAGTTCCATCTTTATCAAATTTTTGTATCACTTTTGCTACAGTATTCTGACTGATAACTAAAGCTTTGCTGATCTTCTTGTACCCTTCACCTTTCTTGTGTAAAGAAATCATTTTCTTTCTTGGACCTTGTGACATTTCTCTTCCATGTGGTGCCATTGCTGATGGCATGAAATGGGAAGCTGTTTTAACACCCTTTTATAATCATCTGTATGCTGTCCACCTATTTAATATATATTTAGACACACCTGTAGTTCAATTCTTGCTAATTTGGATTTTGTTGTCTAAAATTTAGCTTTGTTCATAAGACTTTCATTGGGGTGTATTCATTTTTGCAACATAGTCTTGAATGAATTAGTTAGGAAAAAACACTTTTTTGTATGTGCAAATTAACAAATATTGTTTGCAATGGCCTGCATTTGTGGGAGCATTTTGTAGAATAGTGTTCAATAGAAAATGTTGATTCTGAAAGGAAATTAAAAGGTTTTCTGACAAATCTGTTGGGGTGTACTCATTTATGCTGACCACTGTGTGTATATATATATATATATATATATATATATATATATATTTTATGGTGCTGCTCCTCAAATGCCTGGCAGGCGTTTGCAGTGCAGTTGCGACGCGTTTGCAAGGCGTTTGCGGAGCGTTAATACCATTTAACTTCATTATAGGCATTTGTGGTGCAGTTTTAACGCTTGGCAAATGCCTCAAAACCGCACATAGGGCATTTGAGGAGCGTTAAAAACGCTTCCCAAACGCCTGTCAAATGCTATAGGGGTGTTTGGCAAGAGTTACAAATAAAGTCAAGTGTGAACGAGCCCTTATCCTTTATAATCCCTTTTTTGTGGCATGTATGCATGAAAAGATGTGTCCCAGTAAACCGTGCTCTTCAAAACCATAGTTGTTGTGAATTGGCCAGTAGGTTGTGTTTTTCTCCTAAGCCAAAAGTTTCCCAGTCTTCCGTGTATGTGGAATGTCTCAGAGATGTGTATACAGGACGGTCCCCAGGTTACGAACACGATAGGGTCTGTAGGTTTGTTCTGAACCGCCTCCCACCTACCATATAAGGTAATGACGGGTGCAAGGTGGTTCTCTCATTCTGGGAGGATGCCATATGATGTCCGCCCACTCTAACCGTGTGTGAGCGGCTCCGGGGGCGTGCAGATCGGTGACACAGCGGATCCCCTATCAACGGAAAGAGCCGAAGACGTCGGCTCTGTCATGTGATCAGCTGTGTCCAATCACTGCTGATTGCATGTAAATAAGGAAATCTGCATTTCTCTCCTCACGAGCTGTCATGCTGACAGCTCGTGAGGAAAGGAGAGCTGGTAATCGACATTCCTCAGAGAGGACGTGTACACTGAGCATCAGGGCACTGATGATCAGTGTGCCCTGATGATCAGTGTAGCCCCATCAGTGCCACCTGTCAATGTACATCAATGCCACCCGCCAGTGCCCATCAGTGCCAAATCAATGCCACCTATCAGTGCCTAAAAGTGCACATCAATGCCACATATCAGTGCCCATCTGAGCTGCCTTTCAGTGCCACCTATCAGTGCTGCCAATCAGTGTTGCCTATCAGTGCACCTAACAGTGCCAGTCAGTGCCACCTAACAGTGCCAGTCAGTACCGCCTATCAGTACCACCTATCAGTGCCATATATGAGTGCTGCCTTTCAGTGCCCATCAGTGATGAATGTCAATGCCCATCAGTGCCACCTACCAGTGCCTCCTCATCGGTGCCCATCAGTGCAGCCTCATTAGCGCACATAAGTGAAGGAGAAAATCACTTATTTACAAAATTTTATAACAGAAACAGAAACTTTTCAGCTGTTTTTGGTTTGTTTAGCAAAAAATAAAAAACCCAGAGGTGATTAAATACCACCAAAAGAAAGCTCTATCTGTCTCAAAAAATGATAAAAATTTCATATGGGTACAGTGTTGCATGACCGCGCAATTGTCATTCAAAGTGTGACAGTACTGAAAGCTGAAAATTGGCCTGGGCAGGAAGGGGGTATAAGTGCCCTGTAGGTAAGTGGCTAAGTCAAATTTGTATGTAAGTTGGAACAGTACATTTTTAGGTGTAATTCCAGCCAAAAATTACAGGAGGATACAGACAGCAGTAAAAACCTGACACTGACTCTAACCCCACGCCATACAGTACTGTACTAGCCAAAACTAATAAATAAATGCAACTTGGACAGATGTTTGTCCTAACATATTATTCCTTTTTTACCTGTGCATGTAGATGCAGATGCATGTAAATACTTGAACATTTTCAAATACTGTACAGTACAGTACAACTTTTAACAATCTAGGTAGAGGATGATGGACTTGTTGGAGAGGATGGGACTGGTATTATAGAGTCAGAATTGGATTCTGCTGCTGGAGTCAGTTACTTGAAGTAGACATCAAGGGAGGTTTGCACTGAGCTTTTCTTTTTTCTCATCATAAATAGCCCTGTAGCAGCTCAGGCCTTTGGTAACTGTACGGTAAACCTTAGTGAACCTCTCCATTTCAAGAATTGTTCCTCTAACTTTGCCATTCCTGCTTCAATGAGTCGAAAAGCATTAGCTGTTTTGCAGAAACCATAGTTTGTAGTTTCTAGGTCCTGGTTTTCTTCCTTAAATGCTATCATCTACTGCTCTAGTTCCACAAGGTCTTCATTGGTTAGTTATTTGCTAATAGTCGGGGAGTCGAGTAACTCTATGATATCATTTCATTGATGTCCAACTGCAGCTGATTACCAATAGCAACCACAGCTTGCCTGGTTTCGGCAATTTCATCATCCGTAAACCTCTGAAATTCTTATGCTAATTGGGGGCACAATTTGTTCCAAACTCCTCTTATATTTGTCTCTTTCAATTCATCCCAAGCATCAGCAATATTTTTGATGGCATCATAAATGTTATAATTCTTCCAGAACTCTCTTAAGGTCATCTCATACTTTTGGGTAGCCCTGGCAGCTTGTGAGAATGTCCTCTATAAATAATAGGCCTTAAAAGCAGTGCCATCTTAGCAGCATAATGAGCCCCTGGGCACAGTAGTACTCTGGGGCCCCTACCAGCCGATATCAGGTGTCCCTTATCACAGTGCCCATAAACATCAGGTGTCCTCATCATAGTGCAGATATATTGTACATCAGGTGTCCCCATCACAGTGTCTCCTTGCATCAGAGTTGTACTCACAGATCACAAATGCTGTATCTACCTGCAATGAAGGTGGCTCCTCTTTCCTCTCTTGCACTGAAACTGAGGTGGGTTCTCAGTCTCAGTGCTGGTTCTCTTCCAGCCCCTGCAGGAGGGAGGAGAAAGCTGAATCCTCTCTCCAACAGAAGCAAGCTGCTGCTCTTCTGACAGGAGTGACATTGCAGTTACTCCTGTTAAAGAGGAGTGTCATGAGCGGACAAATGGCCAGTACTCCCCCACCAACATAGGACCTCCCCTTGTCCTGACCCTGATCATGGGCCCCCCAGGCACCTGGGCAGTGCCCAAGTGTGCCTATTCATTCAGACAGCCTTGCTTAAAGGGCTTAAGTAGTGATGTGGTGTGGGTGGGCACAATTACCAGATTTACATTGGAGTGCATGTCATCCAAAATGTTTGGATGTCCAGGGGCATTGTCAAGGAGAGAAGGAGACATTTGAAAGGAATTTTTTTTGCCTGAGCAATAATATTCAACAGCAGGGGAAAAAAAATGGTTAAAAAAAACATTCTTCAAAGACCGCAACTGCAACCCAAGCCTTTGAATGTGCCTTTCAAATAACAGGAAGAGATGCCTTAGTGACATTACTTAGTGCCCTTGGATTGAAGACGTGATGCGCTAGCATAGACTTCAGCTTTAAATACCCAAATGCATTGCCCCCAAATAATATAGTCAGCCTGTCCTTTGATGCCTTATATCCTGGTGAACTTTTTTTTTTCCTCTTTTGAAATGTAGTTTCTCTCAGGCATTTTTTTCTAAAACAAGCCAGTTCCATCTACATTAAAAGTTTGTTCTGGCAAATAGCCTCCATCATCAATAATATCTTCCAATATCTTGGGAAAATCCCTCTCTGCACTTATATCAGCACTTGCTGCTTCACATTGAACTTTAGTGTTGTGAAAATTAGCTCTTTCTTTGAAGTGATTGAACCAACCCCTACTTGCAACAGATTCTTCATTGCAATCGCCTTCACTTGCTGGATGAGCAGCTTTTAAATCTTTGAAAAGGCTTCAAGCCTTTTCTTGGATTAAAGAAAGACCAATAGATATATTACGTTGATTTTGGTCTTCTATCCAAATTGTCAACAGTCTTTCTATCTCAATAATTAAACCACTGCATTGCTTGGTAATAATTGTAGCATGTATTGGGGTATGGCCTTTCACATGCTCCATGAATCTAATTTTATCTTTTAAAATTGTTGCGATTGTTGACTGATTGTAGCCAAAAGCTCTACAAATGGATGATGGACTTTCACCTTTCTCTGATCCCTTTATTATTTCTACTTTATTTTCCATGGTGATGGTTTTTTCTTTTCTTTGCTGTATCACCAGCACATGCATCAGTTATATTGTAAGCGTTGCACAAACTGTTGGCGCTATAAAAATTCTGCATATTAATAATAATTTGCTTTTTGGAGAGATCATTGCAGGGTGAAGACAAAATATGTGGAGTGGAGTGCATTCTAAAAGTGAACAACAAGAAGAAAGAAAGGAACAAAAGTGTAGCAGCTAGCCAATTTATTACCAATTGATTCTAATACAATAGGTACTTTACTGTATAAAGACACTCACTGAAGTGGCAAGTTATAAGGTTCATCAGTTGGATATGCCCATTTGTTGTGTGTCCTCAGCCCGCAGCAGCAGCAGTGGTCCCAGAACCTCAGATCCATTCAGCAGCATGGGATCCAGTACAGCTAAAAAGAGACCCAGATGGTTACATTCAGGACCAAGCAGCATAAATCCCCAAAATGGCTTAATTAACCAACTACTGTATAAACAGTACAAAAACAGATGGTGTAAAAACAGACACAATTGAATGGTAGCTCCACATAGTCAGCTGACATGAGCTCATGCTGGAACACAGGTGGATACACTGTGCAGTAACACAGTGCTGCTATCATAAAAGTTAAAGGTACAAAGACAGGGCATACCCCTAATAGTAGTGGACACAGAGTAGTGTAATAAATCTCACCAGCTTCCACAGATTTCAGGAACTTCTGGCTGTGCAGTTATGTGGGATGTTCCGGGCACTTTTGGGCGTGCTGTGATGTGGGATGTTCCAGGCACTTGTGGTCATGCAGTGCCCAGTATTATTTTTATTATTAATATACAGGATTTATATAGCGCAAACAGTTTGCTCAGCGTTTTACAATATAATACTGTACAGTAGCCAGCAAGATGGATGCTTGGTCCAGCAAGGAGTGCAAGTAGCCGACCAGCAGTGATGTCACGATGCTTCCGTTTGTAAGTAGGAGTCGTTCATAACTCAGATATTCGTGACTCGGGGACTGTCCATATGTAGATCTTGCTAACAGTACCCCTAGGAGACATAGGAACCCATAGCTTTATTTAACTCTTAGCACTATATTTTAGGTAGAGGAAGCCTCAACTTCAAAAAAAAAAACTGGAAATATTTTTAATTAACAAAATTCCCAGACTAGAAAGTAATGGAGGATCATTCATTTTAGAGATATGACAGCAAAGTGAGGGTATGTCTTCCAATGATGACAAATGTTTTGGTGACAACTAAGATGGGAATTTCCCTTCATTTCAGGGGATTTTCTCTTTCTGTTTCATCTCCAAGGTAGGAAGCAAATGGAAATCTCCTCAGCAGGACAGGGATTGCAAAACATAACTTGATATGGGTTTTAAACTCCCTGCTACTACTCTATCCAAAGTGTACAAACAAAAAAAACGGTTTTGTACATAAAAATGTCATCTCCCACAAGAAAACCTATGCAGATTTTCCCCATTATAACAGAAGTATAATCATGGTCCCCAACCCTAGTTCTGTGTTGTGGCCATTCAGACAGAAATAGATTGGATACTCCAAACTATTATCAGCTGTATGAAACTGAAGTGGTACTATAATGGCTTCAGAGTACAATCAGATTTAAATAAAGCATTCTGAGCAAGAGGAATGGTTGATCATGATATTCACCCCTACCAAGTAAGGTCAGATACAGAATTACACAGGGATACAGAATAAAAGACACTAAGGGATATTTATCAATTCTGCCGCACACTAAGGCAATGTTAAACAAGAGCAGTAAGACAGATTGTACGACAGATTTACTACAAAGTTACAGCTTGATTCATAAATTCCTCCCTTGGCTGCTCTATAGTAGCTCTGGTACAAAATAAATCTGCCCATGCCCACTTCTTAATACCTGTTGCTGTTGGTTGCCCAGGATTCCAGGCACATGATCACAAATATAGAGGGAACCTGTTTCATAGACTTTGCTAAATAAGAAACAGCCTGATTGCATCTAATTGTGTCACTAATTTGCTTAATAAATTTACCCTACAGTAAGGTGTCACTATATGAAAAATAGAATCCCAGCCTTATACAAAATAAGAGAAATATAATGTACCATGTGCACTCATACCAGGTGAGGACTGAACTTTTGTTATGAGAAGCAAACACAACCAACAACCCCTTTGATGGTGGGGACAGTTACCTAAACAAAAG